AAGAAACAAGAGTTGAAAGAAGAGCTAAGACAACAAACCACACATCATACAAAGACCCTCAAGAATGGGTCACAGAGTCAACAGGTGTGAATTTGTAGCCCTACTGGACAAGTTGTATTTCGGCTCATCACCTCAAGAACAGCTACTTCCACCAAAACAAAAAATAGAATAGCCATAAATCATCTTCCTCTCCTCCAAAAGCCAAGATTTTCAGAGAGCACAGAGAGTTTCCCTCCCCGCCGCTTACATCTCTCATTTGCCAACACCCCTCTGGACAGAATGATACTAGCTCCTAGCTAGTCTGAATTATATAGGCAGATCTTTGGACAGAAATTTTAATCTCCACCATACCTTCTTCCAACAACCACAGGTAAATATCTTCCAATGCCGCATATCAGACATTTTCAAAACATGGTACCTATATCATTACTAGTACACAAGTTATTCTGAAGTGGTACAGAAACACTGTCTTGAACAGCTGAACACCTCTGCTGCTGCCCCTGCCATCAATGGCGATATGTAAGGAAATGAGATTTGAAAAGTCTGTCTTAAGTCTTATGTAACAAGCAGTACTGAGAGTGAACTAGTCACTCCATTTTCTTTGCAGCTAGAATCTTTTGTTCTTCCGCTCTGCTAATGCCAACACTGGACTTCTCCTCCACTGATTACGGCAAAAAGATCTAATATACCTATAAAATCCGCTACTGGTTTTCAGTCTGATTATCTCTTTGCTGTCTTTCCATTTCTTTCTTATAAAGCCAGAGATCTTTTTCCCCCCTATAATCCCTATGACTTGTGAAGAAGGCTCTTTCCAGTCCCCTAAAACAAGCCACAAAACCACTCACACATCAGAGCTAAGTGAAGATGTTAATCTTCACCCTCAAACACCAAAAGACTTGGAAGCCTTTTGGCTTCCAAATATAATGCTTCTCCCCACCATAATGCCACAGCTACGGCAAGCAAAGGTGCTAACTGGCTTGATTTTCTTCCCTTATTAATGGAAGGCTACTGCTGACAAAGGGCTTTTGACAAAGATTTATTTCCTCTGGAATGCCCCAACCACCAAAACCAGCGCCCACCTGCTCATCTACCAGGCATACTGCAAAGTAATACAAATGGCTAACATGGTAGAGTCTGGAAGGCATGCCTAACAGCTGCTAAGACTAGAAATTTGAAAGCGGTATAGATCACAGGGTTGGTGATCAAATGATGTATAGGAAGAAGGAAGACCTGTTTTTGCTTTGGACAATTTTACATTTGCACTCTTGAGTAACTGTTCAGCTGTTGTATTCTTATACACAGATCAAGAGGACTTAAAGCTTAGATATACTTTTTTGATATACCATGTGTTTGAACCATCAGGAAAACAAACACTGGTAGATTGTATAGTTGCTATTAAACACTGACAGTTAAATAATAAAGATTTTTAGCTTACCTGGGTTTGTACTTACAATCCCAGAACATTAATTTTTTCAACGATGAACACAGTTTAATCAGAATTCTTAGTATCAGCTTTGGTGACCACACCTTCCTTAGCCAACAAAAGCAAAACATTTTATTTTGTGCCCCCAGGCATGTGTCAATTAAAAAATCAGATCCTTGTAAGATTAACAAAAATGTCTTCCTCTTACCATCTCACAACCAAATTTTCCAATCGATATGCAGCAAAATCCCCCATCCAAGTAGCTTCTAATGATGTAGACTCTCTTTCTAAGCACTTGACCAAATACTTAATCACCCTGTCCCAGCACAATAAAATATAGCTCTTACGTAAGGCTTTTCAGCATTGATCTTCAAACACTTCACAAAGTTGCCATTATCCATTACTGCTAACACCAGAGACACGATACCCCACTCTGTTTTACCCAACAGGTTAATGACAGAGCTAAAACTAGTATCCATGTTTCCTCAGCCCCAGGGGAGTACTACTTGTACCATGCCATAGTGCCTGATACTTCTTTGAGAATAACCCAAGTCCAAACTAGCATTCAACAGTCACTTCTACTTAGATAAAGAAAACCTAAAACCCTCTACGCTGTCATAACACAGTCAACTACCACAGCTCTCATGTGCAGTGTTTCAAGAAATCCAAAGAGGTCTTCAGAGCACTTACTGAGGGTGTGCCTGTACGCTACAGCAGCAGGACACTTCTCAGACTAATTAGCTCATGTGGAGCTCCCTCACTATATTGCTTCTGAGCAAGCTCATTTATCTCCATACTATATTAACGCAGTGTAGATACACCTTCAGACAAATCAATTTCCCTTCTTCAAAGGGATACACACTTGACGAGGCAAAAGCAGTTTAAGAGACATTATTATGAACAAATGCTCTCACGGTACAATCACTTATATTGCCAGTTCACTCCCAGGTTTAAATTCTTCGTATATCAGAATGGATTTAAATTAAAATGGGAAAAAATGCATTGTTCTGCTCATGTCAGAAAGAGAAGTACATCAATAACAGCTTAGGTGAAATTTGGCAAGGAGAGATGTGAGAGGGTCTTCTCCCCTAGCATGAGGGATGTGATTTGCATCCCCCTGGTGGGATGAGGGAGAGAATCATGGGATGGGGGAGAGAATCAGAAGAGCAAAAGTCAGAAAACTCGTGGGTTGAGATAAGAACAGTTTAATGATTGAAATAAAATAAAGTAAAATAGTAATAATAACAACAAAGTTGTAATGAAAAGGAAAATAACAAAAAGAGAGAGGAATAAAATCCAGGAAAAACAAGTGATGTAACTGCTCACCACCTGCTGACCGATGCCCAGCCAGTCCCCAAGCAGCGGCCCCCCCCCCCAGGGCCAGCTTTCCCCCAGTTTATATGCTGAGCATGATGTCATATGGTATGGAGTATCCCTTTGGCCAGTTTGGGTCAGCTGTCCTGGCTGTGCCCCCTCCCAGCTTCTTGTGCACCTCCTCGCTGGCAGAGCATGGGAACCTGAAAAGTCCTTGACTTAGTATAAACACTGATTAGCGACAACTAAAACATCAGTGTGTTATCATATTATTCTCATCCTATCCAAAACACAGCACTATACCAGCTACTAGGAGGAAAATTAACTCTATCCCAGCCAAAACCAGGACACAGAGAAGCACCAAATTCCAAAAATATGTTTGCATTGGAAACTTCCTCAAGTTTGGCAATAAATTTGCCACACACTTTGTCTACACTGAGCGTGTTTAAAGGGTGTTTTTCTTTTGCATACCATCCTAGAGCCTGACTGAGAACTCTCAATTCCCAAGACCCAGTTCTTGATTCACTCTATCTGTAAAAATCACTAACAAGGTATGCATTTTTACATTTGTCTAACACTGGTTTGGTACAGAAGAATTAGAGGTTCAAGCTTACTTTGTCAGTGATTTATACAATTACTTATGCAAGCCTCACATGATAAAGTTTCCATTTTTCAGCTGGTATAAAGTGAGAACACCCTCATCACCCCAGAAGAATACTACCATAAAAAGGTTAACTATAATGGTCAAGAAACTAAAGTACCTCTCTCACTCCTGCACACAAATGCTGTATGATATCGCCTTCAACTAACCAATCACACCTTATTTTTTTCCAGAGGATCTTCTCCTTGTTCTAAGGATAGGACAGACAGTGCTAACATTGAATGAGCACTCATTCAATACTTCATTCCATCATACTTCATGATGCCTCACTGTGGCATCTTTGTATAATTTACAGCAGCTACATCTAGAATCATAACTAGAAAACTTCTCATTCCTCTGTTGATCACTATTAGGTACCTGAGTTATTTCCTTATAATAACTAATTACGCCACAGCACCTCCATCAGACAATTTTATGATTCTTGTTTTCAGGTAGCAAACTGGGAGACAGTGATGTGCATCAGGATTGCCCGTAATTAGAGATGCTTGACTTGAGATGCTTTGGGTCTCTCTTCAGAGGATAGAGCAATTAAACAGCACTTTGTCAGTACAAAGTACAACTTCAATCTATTTCAGTGCCATCATGTGTTTTCAAAGCTGACATTAATCAGTCCCAAGAGCCTGAACTCAGAAAATGAGAAGTACACCTAATAGCTGTATTTAAAAAATGTGGTTGAAGTGACTCACCCAACCTCAACACAAGAGCTCTATGGCTGAATTAAGATTTGGCTCTAACCCTCCAGAACAGTGCCCTAGCTTTAAAACCAATCTCTTTTAGTGTTATTCTCTCCTTTCCTCACCTACTAGGTCTCATCCACCTTCACCAGTTATGAGGAAGCAGATCTAAAGGAAACAACCTCATTAATCAGCACACCTGGATTAATTTCCTAAACGCAGTCTACCTGGTCTTCCTGAATATAGCAAGTGTTTTGTGGATAAAGAAAGAGTCTGAAATGACATCAGCATGTGCCATTTTAAGGCAGAAATATAACATGACCAAATTGAGTTTGCACATACAACTTCAATTCTGGCATTTCCTATCTGTTGAGAACTTTGCATTACATCACTGTCAGAGAATTCCACGTTCCCAGAATTTTCATTTCATGCAGTTGCAAATAACAATGTAAGATTTAAATGAATTTTTGTGTCTCCATCATCACTTGCTACATTTGCAGCTTCAAGCTTGAGGAACTCCTGCTACAGGGCCTCTTAATACTAAACACCATCCAAACAATCACTGCAAGGGCAGTTCTTTGCCACAAAGCTAATGATCTATGGGATAACCAGTACACAGCATGCGAACATTATACGGTTAGGAATTACAATGCAGCAACAAGCCAAAATCTCCTAACACCAATTTCTATCAGAAACTTTTCTATCACCTCAGAAAACTGAGCTTCTTTCAGTTTGAACAATACCAGCAGATAACACTATTTCTCTTATTCAACGCCAACACAATACCCAAGCTTCAATTCTAAAAGTTTTTACAAACCACAATAGCATCACATTGCAGCCAGTGTTTTGCCACACGAGCTCATCATAACTAAATATTTGTTTGAACTTCTGTTTAAAAAAAGCAATCAAGAACAAAATGAAAACTCACCTCATTCCCACCAACAGCTTTGGTTAAAATCACTGCAGAAGACACAGGAGGTGGCATGCAGCCTACTGTCTGTAAGCTGAAAACAAAAAGAAATGTTACATTCCTCACATGATGCAAACACTATGCACCCTAAAACTTACAATACCAAATAGCTGAGTAGAAACAATCATCACCTGTGCAACCCAATCAGTTTGCATCACAGTTACAGCCCTGCACCAGCTGGCAGGATTTCTATGCCATCTCTTACCAACCACCACAGTGAAGAGTCACATCACTATTTAAAAACCCAAACACTTAACCTCTCTATGACTCCATTTCTCCATCTGTAGTACTGTATCTACCAATCACAGACATCTACACATCTATCACAAAGATAACTGCATCACGTGTCCTGATGTAGTGAAGTTTGTAGTATGTTTTGAGATACCTGTAGCTATCTGGAAAAAAAAGAAAATAAGGGTGTAACCCCCTATTTTCTTGAAAAAGCTGTTCAGTGATAAAAACCTTTACTGCTAAGTAGAAGAGTAAGAAGAACCATGCTTGCTATTTCAGGTTCCCCCTATTCTTTGTTTTTCATCAACCCTTACTAAAAAAAAAAATAAATCACAATTAAGCTTTTTATTTCCTGAACATTAAAAGGTCATCAAATGTTTAATTTTTATGCATGTTTTCACTTCTTGGAAAAATCACCTTACTTCCATTAATCAACACATCAAAAATCTTTCTCCTGCATTTCAGAAATCTAAAATACGCCATTATCATCTGTCATTTTTCCATTGTTTGTGTAGCAAAGTTATCGATGTATATAGTAAAAGCTGTTGCAAAGTAAGAAAAAATGGTGAGCTTTCTTTTGTTTTCAAAGACAGTCCACAAAAAGTGGTTAATACAAAAATTAGTTGTATCAAATGTGTAATTAGAAACAACAAGAACGTATCACAATAGATTACAATTAAATTTGGGACTAAGTAAAATAGGCCTTCTGAAGAAAAACTGTGTTGACTTAGAAGGAACAGTAAGGCATGAAATAAAATAGTTTACAAAACCCCCAAAAGCATAGAATCTACATATGTTTTCAAGTACCGGAGTCTGAGACAGTATTTTAGTTCAGATCAATTACTAGCAGTGAACTTCTTTGCACTTGTAACTCTTAGTCCACCCCTGAGAAACGCAGTGTCAAAAAGCTATTGCAAACAGAAGTATTAAATCCAAACAATAGGGAGCATACTGTACTGCAACTGATAGGCTGCAAATATACAAAAAGCTTAAATAGAAGAAACAGGTAAATGACAATGATGGTATTCAGTTTGTCAGCTACAGACACTGTGGAAAAGGAAAGAGACAACCAATGTAAGCATTACGTAAATCCAATCACAAAGTGCCAAGTACCACCTTGGAAGTACATTGTACCTTTAGCTTACAGTGAAGTAAGCTACGGAAGCAGAGAGTTGTCAGCACTTAGGATAAGCTCATATTGAAAAGAAAAGAAATACAGGAAAAAGAAATTGTGTTTAAAGTTTGGAAATATTAGTGAAAATATACAGCAGACAAACACATGTTGATTCTGATGTCCATCCCCTACATCGGTTGTGATACTGTTCTCTCTCTTCTACGTGGTCTCTTGGCAGTCAGCTCCTTGAACTTCTCACCTGCACTAATAAGGGGTGGATCAAGTTCAAAGTTATCCAGAGAGGTATGAAATGTATGCAAGGGCATTCATCTCAGCTGGCAGGGATTTTCCACACTATAAGAGAAAGGTTTAATAACACAATCTCTGTGAACCCTCTCAAATTTAAAATAATACATTTGGAAATTAAAAAAAAATAAAAATCACTATCGAGCTATGGTTTTAAATATTCTTCATATGAAAATATTCATCTACAAAAAAGCCTGGTACACACTAAATGAAAATACTTTTAATCAGGTATATTGAAACATGCACTTGACAGCTTTTTTTCTTCTTGCTTTGTATCAACTACATGTAACACTACCAATATACAAAAAAATTCCTCTAATGGCCAACAGATTACTATAGATAACAACCAACTGAAACATTCCACTGGTTCAGGCCATGCTATAAGCACTAACATCAGGGGTCCAAACACTTGCTGAAGGGCGATAAATAATACCTATTCTGCTAATACATTACAGACAACTGAGTGGTAGGGTCAGAAGTCACATATTTTAGATATGGAACTACCAAAGCCGTACCTTGTACCAGATCTTTGCATCTCATGCCTTACCACCTGTGTTGTAAATGCTATATGCTAAGAATGGCAGAAGAGGTGAACCTGTGCAAACATTAATAAGTTGCTTCATGCTCCTTTTCAAAAAGATCCTGTCAATGCAAAACCTAGTCAGCTAACAAAAAATTAACTTAAAAGATGCTTGGGATGATGTCAGTTTCTACCCTATTTTAGATAATTGCAAAACAACAAACCTCCTAATATCATCCCAGACAGAGAGGAAAAAAAATCCCAACTGTAGAAACACAGATGAAAAGCTGGGACCATCTGAATCTGCCTCCCAAATAACATTTACAGCAAAACAGACCGTTATAGAGGATGGGAGAATCTACCATTCATTCTGAAGCAAGGCGGGAAATTAACTGTGGGCTTGACTGTGCCTTTTAGGCATAACCTTGTGTAGAGAGTAGTGGAGAACTACAGTCCCCAGGGTAGCCACCCTGCCAAAGTGGTGCCCTTGGGAGCATATGCCCATTTTTCCAGGCCTTTGTGAGGACTATCATCTAGCTCCCACTACAAGCTATACTAAAAGTGTGATAAGGAAGTAACTTTGCAAAAGCCTGTCTTGTTCCCCTCTGTTTTCATTAGGGTACTTCAGTGTTTCTAGGGAATAAAAGCTACAGCTGTGGGGCATTAGGATGAACTTCTGGTTACACAGAGCAGCCAAGGCACAGGCAGATCCTCACATCCGCTCCTCGCTCTCCTTTCACGTACCCATACAGCACCACGCAAGTACTTGCTTTAAAATGTGTTATCCTAGAATTAGGACAGAGCTCAGTATCTTCCGCACCTGCATAGCACTGAAGGTACACTCACATTCCAGTGGATGCCTGCAGAGCCACACAATGGCTGCTGCTCTGAACATGTCCTGAACAGCAGTATTTATCAAGAAAGCACTCTTTCAAAAAAAAAAAAACAAACAAACCACCAAAAACACACCCAACCCAAAAAACCCATCTCCCTTCATTAAATTCCTCAATCTGTCCATTCTCTGAATGAAGTCTCAATACAATAAAGTTACTGCACTAAAAGATAAAACACAGCCAAAAGAGAAATAGTACTCAAGGAACAAGTGCTTGCAAGACAGCTTGAAACATATGTAAGTATACTAGCTCACTGGTAAAACACAGGCGGCACACCTTCATGAAAAATGAGGGTGGTTTAGGCTCCACATTTAGGGAGACACACATACAAGTGCTTCTCTTTTTAAAAAAATACATACATATGTAGTTTTACACACAGTTTCACAGGTGCGTATGTATATACATACACATAGACTTGTGCATGTAACAGATCATGTCCCTTAAATACTAAGAACCAAAGTGGCGTAAGAGTCATAGGAAAGAAGGGATGAAAAGTGCTGCAAGGAACAAAACCCACAAAAATCTCTTGCACCTTGCACTTCAGAAACTGAGACTCCCATCGATTAGGAGGGAATTTTGGCTCACTGTGGAAAATCATGTCTCTGTTCCAGCTGAAGAAAAACTTCACAATGATTTTACTTTAAAGAATAACCTTTACTATGAATAGCCAAATGCAAACAGACACTGTATAGCAACCTTGTTATTTCCTTGATGTACTAATACTGTTACGCAAAACAGCGCTAACTTTTAAATGATGTCATCTCAATTTCACCTTCTCAGTATCATTTGGACCACTTCACACTTGGTGGAACGCCCAGAGAAGCCTCTTAAAAACAAAACAAAATGCTCTTTTAGGTTTAGGCCTTGTAAAAACATAAACATGAGCAGCTTTATCATTAAACTTTTAAGACAGGGAACTCTCCCCAAACAACGTTCCACCAAGCAGTAAGAAACAGTGGGGATTCTTTAAGAAGTTTTCTAAAATACTTGATTTTTGCATTCAAACATTCCAGCATAGCTGCATGGCACTAGGTATTGACCTTTGATTCTGAAAAAAGCTTTTTATTTTTTGGATTTTTCATAACATCTATCACTACTGCACCATCAATGCAGCTTTGGAAGCACACATTGGCAGAGTACACCAAAGATTTAAAACACATTGTTTGCATGGTAATTTAGCTTCTGCTCATCTCAAAGTTCTCCTCCTACAAAAACTTTACTCTCTTTTTTTCTCCCCCGCCCACCATAATTTAGGTAGGAGCAGATACTGAACCCCAGTCTCGACACATGCAAGAGATGCTCAATACAGACTTTAAAAACAGAAAGGAACACCAGTATGTGGCATACATAGTATTATTCACCAACTTATGTTTTTCCTTCAGCATTCCTTTTCTTTCCTCCCCATCCTCCTTGAGACCCAGCACAGCACTTCAGCTGTGTTTTGTGAAAGAGAAAGCTAACCTGTTGCAAGCTCCCTACATATGAAACTAACTAACCAGACTTTCTAAAAATGAGACCAGGTTCCTGAAAGGATAATCGTGCATGTACTGTGTTTTCGACAGCAAAGTACTGAGGCACAAAAACAACCAGCAAAACCTGTTCACAATACGAGCCTTAAACACCCATTGCAGTTATGATAAGCAGCCCTTTAAGACGACAGCTACAAATAAATTTCACTCCATTATGCTTAAACATACCCTTTTAAAAGCCATTCATTTATAGGTGTGATTGATAATAGCTGAAGAAAGAGCCATATTGCTGTTGGGAAGAACACAAGTGTAAAAATCTGGACAAAAAGGTGTAGTTTCACATGCATCAAAGCACTTGTCAGCTCCTGCAAAAGAAAAAGAAGAGAGGAAGTTGCAGTCATAACAGCTGAAGTAAGATCACGTTTGTGCTTTTAAAACTAGGATCATCTTTATAATACAAAGAAAGTGCATGCCAGAAAGGCACCTTTAGAGATTGTCTGATCTCCTCTTTAATAATGAAGTACATCCAGACAACATAAAAGCTCTGTCTGCTCCTGTGCATTTTTCCAAAAGAATTGTCCACCACTTTAATAATAGCGTAGCTCTCATAACGGTAGCTTTTCACCAGGTAGCCTTAGCACTTTGTCACTGCTTCAAAACCTGTGTTAACTATGCTGACGGCCTGTTTACTTTATTGACTGCTGATATCAAGAGGAAGGGAAACGTGTAGTGTCCACGTGATTTCAGGTTTCTCTAGTCTAAAGAGAGCCACAAACTGTGATTCTCATTTATGCCGTGAAAAAGGGATGTTTGCATTCCAGACAGTCATCATTTGTGGTGGGTTTTTTTAAGGAAAGACTAACAAACATAAAAAGCAAAGTAATCTGTAGATTTTGATTCTTTATTGTATCAACAAATAGGAAATTTATAGAAAAAAAAATCAGACTGATAAAGAATAGCAAAGAAAGAATATCAAGATCATAACAAGCTAACAACAGCTAAGCCATAAAATTCAGAGAAATAAAGTGCAAAACACCTCTGGAGACTGACAAAACAAACAAAAAAAAATTTAAATCATGTAAGAGCACTCCAGAGAGGTGATCAAGTATCCTTATGCAATGAACTCTTCAGTCAGCTCTGTGTGTCTCTGTTTCTGCCTTTTTGGGCACCGCAAGGATCTTCTACACAGTCCTTGAGTACAAGGAAAAAGCCTTGTACATTTCAGCTCATTTCAACTCTTACAGATTGAGAAGAAAAAATCCTTTTCCTCTCTCTCAAAATAACTTGCACTCTCTTCAAGTAAACAATGCAACAGGAAAAGAACTGATGGCACTTTTATTCAAAACATAATTTGCTAGGATTATCCACCTGATACCCCAGATGCATTAAAAAAGAAATATATAAAAAAGTGTATTTTCATGTACAGTAATGCAGCAGCCAATCTTCAAATGCCACCCCCTCTCAGCTTCAAAACAGTTGAACTTTTATGAAACACAATCAAATACTGCATTTTCAACCATCCAAATGCACACTGATGTAATTATACATCTGGAAGTACTAGCAATTCAGCACCATGTCCTTGTTACTTTATTTCTTGTAATAAAATCATCTCCCAAATTTGGGTTAGG